GGGGGTGTCATAGGTCATGTAACGGTACATGTAGTACTGTTAATATTACTACACACTTGCTTTTATTGAATCATGCAAACATTTTCAGTTGGTACAGTTATCTAGAGGCACTGCATCACAAATGTAAATATTTTACTTTATATAGTCTATCAGTTAGATAGTACATAGTGATATCAGCTGTTGAAATGAGAAAACGTTTCGATTTTCAAAATGAATAAATGCTATTTAATAGGAACCATTTGACAAACTTATAATTCCGTGAACATTAGTATTCAAGTAACCCATCAATATTTACCGTTATTGTTGTGACAAACTACTGTGCCAGGTCCATTTGAGTCATTGGCGTCTGCCGGATCCCAATCTGGACCACGTCTGACTCGCGTTCCGACAGGGGGCAGCTCTAACTCGAGTTCCTGAACAAGGTATTCATTTTGTTCCGAGACCTTTGTTAATGGCAGTTTGGAGATATTCATGGCGAGTGCGATAATACTTTCCTGAAATAAAAATAAAACATTATGCTCATGCACTAAGGCTGATACTACATGTAAAGCCGTTGTCAATCCAGCATTCAGGGGATCACGATGAATATGTACCACCGTTAGCACCAGATCGTCTGACTCTCACGGGCGTTTTATCAGTCTGTCGACATCATACTTGCTGTACCTAGACCTGTGTGGACTGGTATAGTGTTATGATATGTACCCAGCAATTATGTATTAATATAAAATATGCACCCTATATTTATTCGATCGATCGAGATCGAGATCATAGGAGGGTGGGAGGGAGAGAGAGAGATAATTTTACTTTTTCTGACTCGGAAAAATCTCTGTTGAACGCCTCTCCTGTAGAACTTTCTAAATCCATGAGGGCTTGGAGTGTAGCTTCTTCGTTCTCACTTGTGTCGTTTTCTCCATCAACAAGATCTGGAAACTGACGAATTAGATTGGTTGCTACAACCTGAAATGATATGAAGACTAACTTGAAATGAAAGCCATAATGCCAACATGTAGGTAAAAATTGCAAACACGAATTATATGAAAAACAAGAAAAGAGGAATTACTGCAAAACTCAAAAACACGTTGAAAAGCATCAAACGCACATACCATAAGTTAACATGAGATATACTCTAAGTAATTCTCACTGCTACAGAAGGAAAGGGCGGGGGCTTTTCGAACATTAATATAATAACTGTGTTTCGTGTCTGTACAAAATGTACCACTTGAAGTCGTATTCTACAAATCAGGATTTAGAGCAGATAGATGATATAACTAATGGTTTTTTTTTCATACGTAGCAATATTATGTTAATAATGGAGATAAATATGTCTTCATAATATTATTGTTTACTTTTCCTTCCTTTATTAAATAAACGTAATGCAGCGATTTCTTACCAAATGCGTTGGCATCTTGACGAGTTCATCAACATTGTCATCAGGTAATATTTTGCCGTTTGTAGTCTTTGTTAATATTTGCAGCAGTTCCTGAAATCGCCCAAAGTAATGACTTTCTGTACAATTTACTGTGCCGGCTAGACCAAAAGAAATAGTTCAGACCTGTTGCAAGATTGTTCCAGGAAGGAAATCCTTTTGATCATAATACACAAGAACTGGCATACATTTTTCATGTGATGACAGCGTCTCTTTTGACAAACTTTGAATACATTATTTATCAAGTGGTTTTAAGGGCACTCACTACCTGAGATGTTCTCCATTCAGTTTTGCCGTAATTCATTACTATTTTATTAAATTTTACTCCATACGCAAAAGAATGTGACAAGTAAGGCTTCTTTCTTTGTCAGTTTGTGCAAAGTCATTCAGGAAAAATGCAAACAATGATATATAAAACTATTGTTTGAACACGATTCGCTTCATATTGTGTTTACGCCCCCTTACTTCCCTAAATTTATTAATGTATCTTACCGTTTAAAAACCCTAATGATGTGCTAGCATATCTTTGTTGAAAATATATACAGTACTGCTTGTAATAGTAATTGGGAAAAAAGTAGAACATTTATTTTACATATAACAGGTTATGTTACGCGATTTTAACCATTGCTCTATGTGAAAAATGTTTAAGGAGTTATGCAAACCAAGAGCCTGCTTTATATATGACTATGGGCAGGTTTTATGGTCACTGTCAATATCTTTGCTGTTACTACCCTGATTCTCACTTTGAGGACGCGATATGTCTTGGATTTAGTCTAAATTTACGGGTGTAGTCGATACGGCAAGTATGCTTAACTTCCACATCTACCACACTACAGCCGTGTTATGCAGTGAATATACATATATTGTTATTTTTGCTGCAAATATCCTTTAATATTTTTGTTTGCTGCACCTACTAAACAATTAAACCAGCATTTGCATGTTAAATCCTTCTTAACAATTGATGAACATACCGATTCTGCTGAGGCCCCTACGTGAACACAGTAACAAACAATCCCATGGAATTTCATCAGGTTTGCTGCTGATGGGACCTGAAAAATATTATAAAATCATTTTATTTTGAATGATTTCATTCATTCTCCTTTTTTCATGAGGATTCGCTTATTGATAAATACGACTATATATTGTTTAGTAAATGGAAATGGAATACCATGATATCATTCTTTGGATCAAACTGAAAATGTTCGTCCTCTGCATCCTTATTGGAAAACTTTCCATCGGTCAACACTATGACGCGAGCCATCAAGCGGACATCGTTAACCGAAACGTCTGCGTCTAGAAACATTTATAATAAAAGAATATAATTCACCACCTTTATGATGCATATTCTCAGTTATGTATGGAAATCTTATCAATTCACTATGTTTAGTCATGAAAAGTATAACTTGTTTTTTATAATTACTATATATCAATTAATAGTTAAAATAACATGTCGTACACATTAAGTATTAAAACTAGAACATAAAATAATACATAACACTTTTTTTCCCTTATTTGAAGAGATTTAACTTGCTGACACATGTTTAAAATTTTCATTTTTTTTAAACTATGTTGAAAGTAAGATAATGAAATTAAACTACATTAGTCATGCAGGTTAAGAATCATAACACAATGTATACGTACAGTTCCCAATGCAAGCTGCAATAGACATCGATAGGCCACGATAGAGTGTACTTGGGCCTTCAGCAACAAGAAAATCTCAAAGGGAAATTACACAACCTTACAAGCTCAGTATTATCAACATATAAAATAACTGACAAAAACTGACAACTTATGAATTACCAAGATTTGAACGAAACATTTGGTCGAAATTTATTTTACAATTATCTAGTAAGAAACTATTTACCCGTGACACTGAAAGAATACCACACATCTGTTATAAAATAGCAATAACTGTTCTTTATTCTATGTCAGTGTCAATAATAAGATCTACGATCGACCTTTCCATATGAAAAACAATCCGTTGGTGTAAAATGGTTACCAATTACACTTCTGACTTGTGAGTAGTCATTGGTGAGATGGAGGGCTACACAAGACTGGGTCCCAAATGTGGTCACTGCTACATTTCCCTGCAACTCCCGATCATTTTCAAGCTCTTCAATACCTACATATTGAAATTTTGCAAATGTTTTTTTGTAAGGGAACAGTCTTACTACTAGTCTCTGGATGAGCATTAATAAATTAAATAGCTCGTCTTTGTATTTTTACATCATATTTTAGATCTATTGAGAATATTCGGACAACGTATGGCTTTCTTTTCTTATCGTCATAACATTATATAACTTTTTATGTAAATTTTGTATGTAAATAAGAGATACCTGAACATATCAATCTATTCCAAATTTTATAAACAATGTATATGTATGAAGTCTTAGAAATTGAAAAAAATAAAGAAAAATGCAATTATCAATACTTGATGTGATGCGGTTACAATGATATCTTGAAATAGATAGCTGATTAAATATTATAGAATAAAGAAAGAGATTTACCATCAATTATTTGATTTGCAACAATGGTCATTTTGCGGAAATTTTCTCCGCTCATGCTTTCTGACGTGTCTAGGCACAAAATGGTATCAGGGCCGCTTCCCCGGACTGGCAGACACTGTGAATGCTTAACTGAAAATAAAATTACAAATACATTGAACATTTTCTTTTTTATGAATCTTTGTAAAATTGATAAAACGAATATAGATATATGCATTCCATAATTCGTTTGTGTACATATAATCAAGTTACGACTTGGAAAGATCATTTAAAAGATTCACAATCTGCCACGTACATTGTAAGGTAAAGCACGTGGTTGATATTGTTGTAATCTCATAAAATGAATTTCAATGTACATGTACATATCGATAAATGTTATTATAAATCCTAAATACCACAAAAAGCATCAAAAACAACATTTAAATTTGATAATTATTTCCTCCCAGAAAGGTTCCAGACCAGGCCATTTTTAATCATCAATCTAATCAACATATGAACTCTAAGAAAGGTGGACGTAGCACACACACACTCTTATATCAAAGTTCATTATATATAAGTGCGCTTTAAATTCACATTTACCTTTTTTTACTTCTTCATTAATTTCCAAAAGAAAGGGTCTGATATCGGCCATTTCAAAATTTGGTTCGCCAGAAACTGCAAAATAAATTGCAAACATAAGTTAAATTGTGTGTATATATAAACTACAATAAACATAGAGATTGGTGTAATTGAGTCTAACAAACTGAAACAAAACCATTGACACGTGGTGTCAAAAAGCAATGCTATCTGTTAACGTCATTTTACTATAACATTTGATAATTAGTATAATTACACTGCGCTGATACCTTTTACCAAATGAATGTGGTATTTCCACTCATTAACAATCCTGTAAGGACAAGTCAAAACCAACTGTGTTCTTTTCTAGGGATATGTCTTTAATTTTATACCGAAAAATACATTTACAGTCTATGCAGCTCATATTCCTCAGGTTTTATGCTAACGAACAAAGGCCAATTATAACTACAAACTTATGAAAAGATTAATGATTTACGATATTCAAGTGAACTATGTGTTTTACATATGCTTTCTAAGTTAAAATATATGACATAAGGCCGCTGCCAAAGACTTAACATGACTTTTGAAAGTTTTTATATACATGATTAAACATGCCTTTTGATAATCGCACACCAGAATTATAACATCTTATCGTCGTCAAATACAATAAAGTATTAGGAAATACATACAGATATCAAGATGTTGAAATCCTCGTTTTACGCATGCCAAGACTTCTTCACACAACACCTCGAAAAGCCTATTGGATAGATATTGTAATTAAAAGTATATATCTTAAAAATAAACTTTATTTAATTTACAAAAATTGTTGAAGAAGTTATTTCAAGCTATATTAATCACTCTTGCTGTCCCGGATGCGCGATGGGTCTTAATGTGAGAGGAAACCGGAGTACCCGGAGAAAACTCACGTAGTCTGGCAGGTGACCCCATACCTTTCCCGATCGGGAATTGAACCCCGGCCTCCGCGGTGAAAGGCAAGTGCGCCATCCACTGTGCTACCCGACAACCCAAAGTATAGATTGTATGTTGCATGATGGGTGTTGGAGACTTATGATGTATGTCGTGCGTTTTATGATTCTTATTACGTGTATGTTGAATGATGTATACAGTATATTTTGTATTTTTCATTGTCTGTTATATGGTACGTGTGTTTTAATAATAATAATAAAATAATAATAATAATATACATTTATATAGCGCCCTATATAATTTGTAAAATTACCCTAAAGCGCTTTACAACATATGGATAATAGTAATAGTTATAATTGTGAAACAATCACTTTTATACATTTAAACAAGCAATGTGCACATAATGGAACAAATAAAGGGTGGTATTTACATGAAGTCTTTGCAAGGATTCTAAAATTCAGACGTGAAGTGGTGAGTTTTGATGTCCCTCTTGAATTTGGCCATGTTATTTGACTTTCTAATAGCAGATGGTAAGTTATTTCACAACGTGGCCGAAAGGTCTGTGTTGTGTAATATGTGATGTATGCTTAATATTGTTAAGTGTATTTTTTTGCTATGTTGTCATACGATGTGTGTAGTATGTTCTGTGTTGTTATGTTGTGCGTTAATAAAACGAAGTCCTTTCAAAATGTATAATGAGAGTATATTCGAAAGTTTTCGTAGAATAAACAAAATTTAGCAAATCAGATTTGTTTTCAGTTTAATCAAACTGCAACCTCAACGTAACTCAATCTACATCATGAAAGAGCATATAAGTTATTATGGTTAAGATAAAATATAAAACATACCATTTAATAAGACCATCAACATCTCCATCGCCAGTATAACGCTGTTCACACATCCAACCCACTAAGTGTTCATAATCCTGAACATTGGCAGCTGTTTGTGTTTGCATCATTAGCTGGAGGTCTGGATTCAAGACTGTTGTCCCCATTCCAGGTGTCGGATAGGACCTGGATGTGGCCAAACCAAAATCATTACCATGGGTAGATGTGTACTCTGCGTCATACGATTTGATGTCTTTCCTCACCATGACGTCATCCAGAGATGTGTTTTCTACTCCATCAGCTTTACTGACATTTCTTACCAAAACTTTGACGTCGTTCATCGGCGCACGGGGCGGTAACGATGTGCTCTGAATAGGTGTCTTTGGAATTATTATTTTAGATGAACTTAAGTCCCTGGTTTGGGATGGTGTAGACACATTTATAGGCAGTGTTGATGGCAACTTCACAGAAAAAGGCGCTACCGCTCTCATTGACTCTTGTCGGGTAGAATGATGTTTATCTGTGACTGAAAATGTGTTCACCTGTTGTTCCAGTTCCGGTGTGTCAAATATATTAAAATCGTGTGGCAATTTGGTCTCCAGTATCTCCTGTACCGTCCTTACTTTTGTATTTATGGTTGTGAAAAGAGTCCAAGTTTCTAAAAACAAAAACTAATGCATAATATGATTTGCTAGGAATTCGGGGAGAAGAGAAAGTAGTGAAAGTCAAATCTATTTTCGACCTAATTTTCAATATTCCCATGGCAACAGTATAATACAAGTATTCCCATGGCAACAGTATAATACAAGTATTCCCTGGGCAACAGTATAATACAAGACTTAAGACCCTTCAAAGCGTCAAATCCACATTCTACCTATCTGTTCAAAATATGCATTCGCAATGATAACCTCAAACTTCTACAGAGAAATATAGGTGAAAAAATATGATATAAGAATTAATGACCTGGAATTTTCTCAGATATTATTCAGCCAGATGATTCTTTTTGTATTTCACATGGTTACTTATTCTTATATTACTCAACCACTCATACCTTTACCCTTTCGTTACGCACAAATCAACTTTCTTTGCAGATTTTTAGCTTCCTTACCACAACACAGTAAATCTTAATTGAAGTGTATGCCGTATTTAATTTGAAAAAAAAGGTACAAAAAAGCATGTATGTGTGTCAAACATGAAGTTGAATTTAAACATAATATACAGCCAAAAAATCGGCAATTGATCTCCAACGTTATCATAGTGACGTCACACTTGCAATGAAACAACAGTATTATGAGCTCAAAACTTTCAAAAGGATCTGGTTTTTGATATAGAAGATAACGCGAATATTTAAATATGGGTATACATACCTTTCACAAGACATCGGATGTGGTCACGACGTGTTTCTTCCAACGGTCTATAAGAGAGTAAGGGCAAACTTAGTATGTGTTTTATGTAAATCCAAATCATAACTCGTAACGGTAGGTGTCGTACGTGAGCAATCCTCTAGTCAAACAAATACCATCTCATGGTGCATAATAGTAAATATAAATCACGTGTTACAATATTGTATAGGATTTTATTGGGAGGTCTATGTCTTGGGAAAATATTTGTTATGTTTTATGAGGGCGGTGGGGGTTACACTAATTTGAACATTAAACATTGAAAAAAGGAAAGATAATTGGAATGGAGAATTTGTTTTTATTTCTAAATATTTTGATGTTGTCTACTAAGCAGAAATCACACGGGAACTGCCTCCATCCAGTTTCATATTATTTGCTTACGAAAATGTAAAACAGGAAAACATAAGAGGCAACAACATCTGTCCCAAGGCACTGGAGCATTACTAGTTTGACCTAACTTTGTTATGTGGTCTGAACTACTGGAGAGAAATATCATTTTAATCTCTCAGAGTTTCCTGCGCTACCTCCAATTCAACCCTATAAACGACTCACGTGTATACCATTCGACCATGGGGTCATACATGTACACGTAGCGCTCTATGCGGAAAGCAATACAAATAATTGTCGAAAATTTTTATTTAGTTTTAGTAAAAGTATGGATACGTCATATTAGTATCCGACTTTTTCCTGTGATCATTTCTGAAAATTAGTATATGTCCGTTAATAACAAGGTTTTAAACTAAAAGCAAACGCTATAAAGTTGAATTTTTGTGCGTCAGCATATTAATTATAATAATAATTGGAGATTCTTATATACCGCTTTATCACAACCTAGTTCGTAGGTCGTCTCAAAGCGGTTCACAAATGATTATCCGTGGTTATAGGGCCTTTGCAACCAGCCAATACATTTCTCAACTCCCTGGGGAGCATACAGCCGTTGCTGCCATTTCGGCGCTAACAGCTAGCATTCAACAATTCTAGCACTGCCAAACCACGTACTCATTTACAGCTGGGTAGACTGGAACAAGCGGAGTAAAGTATCTTACTCAAAGATACAACACATTGCCGTGCCGTGGCGCGAAGCCGCAACCCTTCGGTCACGAGTCCGGCGTCCTACCACTGGACTACTGTGCATCCTATATATTCTTGTTACACATACCGTTACAACTGTGCTCCTGCTTGAAACGTAGAAACTAGAGATATAAGCGTTACGCATGGTGCAAAGCTATGATAGCATCTCAAAACGAATCTAAAGTATCGATAGACTCCTGTTATAACCGGAATGTAATCTGTGGCAGATTACGACTGTCGTAAAATGCCACAGAGTCAATCAGAATTGTGTTCTGTTTTCATTTTCGATTTCCAGCATTTAATTCCTTTTGAATGATGGACCTGATATATTTGACCGTCTCTGAAAGTGAATCAAAATCAGCATACTCTTTTTTGCCAAATATCATGACTTGCTTAATAAATGTCGACAGCTGACGGACACACTTTTAACACAGGGCAATTGAGATTGATGAAGACTATGGGCAATTGTATGGTTGTAATTGTGATATCATGGGAAAATATGCTTATTTCTTTGTGTGATAATGAAAGTTGATGAATATATTCTGCTCATTGTGATATTTTATGGATTTTTTTTATCAATTCCCGAGTTATCGGTGTTAGGACGCGATATTACTTAAGTAGTCTTAATAAAGTAAGCAAAAACACGATAATTAAATAAAGGACTGAATGCCAAGAGGACAGGAGTTGCTGGAAAACAGCATAGCTCGCCTATGTGTTATTATAATACTGCAACTATCAATAGAAACATATGTAAAGTAAAACGTTGATATAGTGCCTATCATTTTATTTGCCACCTCACTTACCACCAGCATACGTCGAGGACCGTTAATTTTGAAATGTTAGTATATGCGGATATACCTGTAGACTTAAGAAACATCTATGTGATGTGTGATTGTTAAGAAATTAACAAAGTCCAATGAAGCTGTTTTTGGACCCTAAAATATGAAAATATTGTCCAGAACATTGCTAACACTCGATATAAATACTTCAACCTTAAAATAGACAACAGCCTATTGATGGTGGTTGTTCATCACTTCAGAAAAAAACTTGCCCAAAAACTTTAACCTCAAATTTAACTAAGTCCAATAAAGCTGTTTTTGGACGCTGAAATATGAAAATATGGTCCAGCACGCAGCTTACACTCGATATAAATTATTTAAGCTCATAATAGACAACTGTGTAATGAGTGTGATGATCCAAAAGTATCTGGAAAAACTTGCCCAAAAACTTTAACCTCTAATTTAACTAAGTGAATCTCATAATAGACAACTGTGTAATGAGTGTGTTGATGCAACACTGTCTGGAAAACACTTGCCCAAAAACTTTAACCTCGGAAGGTGGGACGCCGACACCGACGCCGGGGTGACTACATTAGCCCCATTTTCTTCGAATAGGCGAGCTAAAAAGGGATCCCATTGACAATCAATCTGGTCACCTGTATCAAGAATCTTTGAAAAAGAACTGATATGTTATCAACAGGAATTAACAACATTTACCAGCAATAACATTTTAATTTCATAAAACAATTAAAACATGAAAAGGATTTTGGGAAATGGTTTCTAATTGATTATTAACAGTAAATAGATTAAAATGTGGCTTTCTGCATCGAAAAAAGTATATGTTGCAATGTGTGCTTTCACTCTCTATTTGAAATATTGTCCAAGACTATAAGATGATATGAAAAAGCTCACCTTTGTAATTTAGTCACGATACACATACTCAAGTCTCCTATTTCTCTAGTTATATCAACCACTTCTTCCAGTGCAAACTGCAAGTTTTGTGAAAGCTAAAACAAATACAACAGTTTGATAACGCCTTTAAATAAGACTCATACATTGACTGGATAAATGTCTACTGTCACATTTGTATAAGAAATGACTGGTGTATAGGTGTAATTCAATATTGAAAATGTTTATTCGCTATTTACTAAATTATTACATCAGTTTCTTTAAACAAAGATAGAAAACTACTTTTCAATTTTAACTTCGTGAAGTTCAAACCAAATATTTCATTAAAGAACAAAAGGTTAAGGGACTTTGAAAGCTCACCTGGAATTTTACATTATTTTTTTTCAACCTGTAGGATACGATATATGTTTATCAAAAAGAATATCAGAAACTTGTTAAGCTGTAAAAGCAAGTCTTTCCTCGAAGATCTTATCACTCTACAACTTAGGTATCTTTTTATATCATTTTTTTTGGAATATTTGACCATATTTTATTGAGCTGAACTAAGATTGTTGTTATAAACAATTATTCATAAACATTGGTCGCCATCTTTAATAATTTAGAAGTCAATTTAGCGTTTAAAATTTCAAAAAGATGACCTTGAAATTTGGTCCAAGTCACTCATTTAAACAAACTATACAGTCCTTCATGTATATCATAGCATGAAACTGGCCAAATATAATCAACCTTGGTTTCTTGTTTGTTCAGAAGATGTTAACAATTTAAGCATATTTACTTCTGTCACTTTGGAAAGGGTCAAGGTCAATCACGTGATCAGCCTAGATTTCTTAGATATTCAGAAATAAACTTTTAAGTTTTTTACACATTTAACCTGTGACTGTATTGGTTGGTTAAGGTAATATGTTTTCAAAGACATTCACCCAAGCATGCTAATTGCCAAATAAAAGATCCGCAGTCTCTTGTTTTTGAGACCGTGAACATTGGTCAAGGTCATTCAGCTTAACAAAATTGATAACAATTTATTTTAGGACACTGCTGCCCAAATATCCTCAACCTCAGCCTTCTGTTTGGTCAGAAGATGTTAATGGGGTTTCAAGACGTTGGACCCCTTTGACCTTAAATAAGAGTCAGGATCATTCCTTTGGCATTTGGTTATTCACAAGACGTCTTTTGCAGCGTTTTTCAAATATGACACCATGTGACCTTGAATATAAGTTAAGGTCATTCATTTGAACAAACTTGATAGGCTTTCGTCCCAGTGTGCTAATGGCCAAATATAATCAACATAGGCCTACAAGAAGTCGTTTAGAGACTTTTAACACATTTGACCCCTTTGACCTTGAATATGGTTGAAGGTTATTCCTTTGAACAAACTTGATAGCCCTTTTATCCCAGCATGTTACTTGTAAATATCCAATCTTTAGACATTGTTGTTATTCAGAAGAATTCATATGAAGCTTTTAACAATTTTGACCTCTATGACCTTGAATATAGGTCACGATCGTTTATTTCAACACATTTGATAGCCCTTCATCCCAGTATATTACTACACGCTAAATAGCAACTCTCTATGCTTTATGGTTATTAAGGAGTATTTGATTGAAGTTTTTACTAAATTTGACCCATGCCATCTTGAATATTAGTTAAGGTCATTTATTCAATTATCGTTGTAAACTCGACAACCCTCATCCAAACATGCTACTGGCCAATATAATCACCTTAAGCCTTTGGTTATTATGAGTAGTAGTTAAAAGAAAAATGTTGACGCCGGACGGAAGACGGACGGAGGACGGTCGGAAGACGGCACACCAATGCATAGCTAACTTGGTGCATAGCTGATAACCAATATCACGAAATAATTACGATTGGAATCTTAGTCAACGACTCAAGTTAAGTTCGTAAAGAAAATATGAAATATATTAACCACAAGAACATACCTCTTTGGAGCACGTTTGCGCCATTTTGCGTCGAATCCAGTTTTTCGAGCCTAAATAGAAAGCAGGACATACACAATTGAGGTTATTTAGCAAAACCAGCTATAATGATATAGTGCCAACACTCCCATCACTGTCTTGATCTAGAACCTTAAATCACAATACAATTACATCAGGTAAAGATATTTTGTTACGGTACAATCCATTTCACAGCCTATGATCATGTGTTCTCCGTATGGATGATGCTGTCTTTACTTACATTATGTACAAAGCTGTATATACACAGCCCAGCATTCAAACTATACCTTAGATACCGTTTAGCATGACATTTTCGCGATTTCGTGGGGCATTAGCGATATCGCGAAAATATGATCCGCAAAATAATACATGCATGACCAGCTAATGTTTCAGAAAAATCAAATTCATAACCGAAATGTCATCATGAATATTCGGTTTAAAAGATTCCTTTACATCAAGTTTAACATAGATTATATCACACATAACTAATCTTGTTGAGAATGGGTATAAAAAAAGCACAGATAAGCCAATGCAAATGTTTTTCTCGACAAATGCATCTTATGATATATACAAGTTTAAAGTTTTGTTTTTTTCTGAATTGTGACTTTTATTTAGCTTTGAAAATGGACATATAAAAAGTGAGTTTTTCATCAGTTATTGAATGTTTTTTTCTGAAATTTAGTGTGCATGGACCTCAATTATGTTTAAGAAATATTGGAGGAGGATTATTTTGTGACAGGGATTGTTTAATGCTAACAGAGTGCATTATTGAATTTGATATACAGTTTGGTGTGGCATCCATATTGGAATGTCCTTAAAACTCGTTATAATACTCTCCTTCTGACCCAGTTTAGGATATTTTATTGGCAATCTTTCACACTTAAATGCATATGATATTGTGTTGAGTCAAAACTGCAAAAAGTCATAACAAAATACCTTTTTTGACTGGCCGTGTGTTCGATTGCAAGATATCTCTAAATTCGAATAAACTTATCACATCCCATAAGGGAATCCTGGTAATGTAGTGAAACGTACTTACGTGATGGTAAATACACGCAGGCTGTAAATACACGCAGGCTGTATCCTTTAGCTGTTTACTTGTTCATTGTAGATACGTAATAAACATCCTGCTTGCTAACAGAGGTTCGCCAGGCTGAACTATTACAACTTACACAGGGCCAACATATCAATATGACACCTATGTTTACAAGTTTATCACATACATATCTCACCGTTCTATTTCTTGTCCCCGTTGCAACCAGACGTAAATAATACACACATAGTATGCTCAGGTAGGACCTGCAAACCTGCACAGGATACCCTCAGAGCAGGTAGGCCTAATGCATAACGAAGTGTACAACACACAACTATTTATAGAACACGGATTGGTAAATAACAGAGGTGTATACATTACGTTAAATACAATTCCTCTAACTCTGTTATAATGTATTGCTGCCAGGCTTGATATTGATTTTTCAAAATAAAAAAAAGCTTTCAATTTTAGCGACATATCTTTTTGGAAGGATAGAGAGAGGAGGGTTTGGTTTACATTATATACAAGGCTTGGATAGTTTAGGGATGGCAGGTCAAGGGTTTTATCCAGCTTAGAGGGTTTGAGTTATATTCGTTACGTATGCAACCGCCGGCGAAATGTTATCTGGAGATGTTTAATTCCAATAAAGCCAATAACTTGAGAATGTAGTTAGACAGCAAAATGCTATACACGTGGAATTTCGATGAAAAGCACCAAATATGCACCAGAGGGTATACATCCTGTGCCCGGCGCATTCGAAAGACATCCTTTTATTTGGGTTTTTTCAGCAATGTTTTGTACTATTTTATAATCGTTTTAATCAGGTTAAGTAAACGGCAGAATTCACCGAGGAAACACTGAAAAAAAAAATTGTAACTTACACAAAACACCAAATGAGGTGCCAAGTTTTCTTTACAAAGTATTGAAAGATCCGAACCTGTTTTATCCAATTAATGAAATATGAATCGGTGACTAACTATCGGAGACTCGTTGAATATGACTTTTGTCGCCATAGACAAGGAGACATGGTGATATATGTGCAGCTTCGTTAGAAACCAAGGAAAGCATTGTAGTTTTAACTACCCGAATCGAATTATATTTTATTGGTATCCGCAATTCAATCCCTTATACATGCACCTCTATATGTCCTCTGTGCGTTATGAAAGGTGTACAGTTTAGAGTCGGTCATTACTACTTCACACTACACTGTATCGTAAATGTTTCGTAACCGTGTGTACAGTTACATTTTAAAACATGTGTGTACTACGATCAGTGTCGGTACTGTACATATATAGTCGGTAGAGCATCAGCGCAAAGCAATTCATGAACAAAAGTGGACATTGTTTTAATAATATACCGTAAAACCTGTAACAGTTATCCTTATTATTTTTTACAATTTAGTTCTAAAACGGTAACAGACGAAACCCTTTTCTTCAGGATGAGTTTCATATACGTCTTATCCAATATGAAATAATTTGACAGCCTTTTATAATTTTTAAAGTGTATATTCATGTAATATCAACGTCATATGTATTGTTTCAATGTTACATCACATGACATGAGGTCCGACCTATTGTTATAAATCTGATGTCACAATGGTTGCTAGTACATGAGTATTGCGCCAAGCAATGTAACTTCGACGGATACACTGCATAACGTGATGGTCATGTGACACGGAATTAAGTTTACATTGTAGAAGATAGATTATTGTCGATAACAGTACTAAGGTTGGTTCGATGTTAAAACGTTTAGTCATCAATAAACAACAGACCAGTCCTTTGTTTAGTTTATGTAATCTACTAAAATCGATTTTAACCGTACTCTACTAAAGGGCAGTATTACTTTTTTTTATTTAACATACAGTATTTCATGTAACGTGAACCCCGCGTAGCTCAGTCGGTAGAGCATCAGACTTTTAATCTGAGGGTCTAGGGTTTGAGACCCTTCGTGGGCGCTTCCATTTTATATTTTGTTTTAATTTTTAAATTATTAAAAAAGAGATGTTATAGCTGAAATGAAGAGTTACGTTTTGACGATGTCGTTGATTTTCTCGGCATAGTTTAAGTTAAAAAAGACTGTTTAATTTCATGTGATTTTGTTGTTTAAATAATGGTACACTAATGTCCTGACTATCGAGGATTCCTTACAAAATTAAAAAAGAATTCAAAAGCGCTTCTTGCAGACATTTTCTTAATGGCGATAAAATTGAGTTTAAAAAATCGCCAACCTAATAATACTGTAAAATAAATAATGTGAAGGTCCTACCCAAACTTAAACTCGGATCGCAGGATTAAGAGTGCTAGGTGCTGTTTTTCCAATTAATGGGTAAAATTATAATTTTCAATCTTAATGTTAACGATGTCCAGAAGTGTCAATAAAGAAAAATATATTTGAAAAGAAAAAGAAAGTCTACGACACCTGGTATTCCCAGGCGGGCGCCCATCCAAGTACTAACCAGGCTCGGTAATGCTTATTTTCGGTGATCGGACAAAACCGGTTTGTTTTCTTTTTTCTTCAAAAAATGATTGTGCATTAGGCCCAGCAAATAGTACCTCCGGGGTTGGGCCCCGTAGCCTCCTCACAGTCCATATAAAACACATATTAAAGCATTCATTAAATCACAGAAGTACATTTCTACATGAAATAAGCATGATAATTACAATGTTTAACCGCTTATTTACTAATGGGTTGAACAAAAACAAATCATAGTGATAAGACATAAGATTCGATGTTTTCAGTGCCTAGATAAGTGTCAACTTCCTTTGATAATTTATTTTCAGCAATAAAATATATTCTTTATAAGAATACTTTCTTCTTCATGAGGTAGTGGTGTTTGATATAATCTAAATATTTACGAAATGTTTACATAAAAAAACCGTCTTTATATTCAATACGCCTTTTAGGAACGCATACATGCACTACTGCTAAAAGAAAAATTGATTAAAAAAAAACATTTGTATGTTTAATCTTACTGGTATATTCCAAAAGTGTAAGTTTTCCAAGATGATATCGGATAGGTAACTCTGATCAGCATTTGAAAAACAATCTTTGTTTACGTAATAATATAAGCCAAAACGTCAGAGGGTTCTGAATAATCTGCAAACTAATGCTGTAAAGTTTCTGTCTCAGAATCGCACAACAGACATGTATCGCTATCTACTTTGCCAATTGTTTCTAACTTCTCCATCGTAAATACGGAGTTATATGCAAAACGATAATGAACAATTATATCACAAGGTAAAAATGGCATATACATAATTGAAAAAAAAATATGATCAATATCCCGATGATTTGGGACTTTTGAAGCAGTAGCGAATGAAACAAGCGTAAATATCCCTAGTAGTCATGTGGTGTAGCTGTACAGTAGTGCCATTAACATCTGTATAAATAACATATGGCCTGGACTCTGTTCTGATATTGGTATGTACATTACTTAAATTAAAATAAAGATGTATAATTGAGAAATGATAATTGTAAAATATTAATAATTGCCATGTATGCTGTATAATTCAAACAGTATAAAGTAGAAGGCAGTAATTAGTTTGCAAGAGTTATGTCTCTTTATTGTACACTGTATGTATTGTACTTGTGAAGCGTTGTGTTAAATGTAGTCTTTTGTGTTTGTTTACAGAGTGAAGATATATCTATATTTATATATCTACGAATGATGTTGAACCATGTTTGTCAGTGCTGGGGAATATATATGAATCGAAAAGAACTCTTGGTTATTTGTGAAACCACCCCGCTACATGTCTATATTTCTCTAGTTTTAAAAAAAATAACTGGTATTTTTCGCCATCTACAGCCCATTTGACTTTTGATCTTCAAATAGCACCATTACATTTTTCTTTTTCAAACTTTTCTAAACTTTGTCGTAGTTCTTCATATTTATTGCAATCAAACGGTTTACCGTTAGCTATATCTCCAGAAAAGCTCTGTAGCTTGTTCTGTATCTTATAAAACTCCGACATCCGATTTAGAACGGTGAGATATGTATGTGATAAACTTGTAAACATAGGTGTCATATTGATATGTTGGCCCTGTGTAAGTTGTAATAGTTCAGCCTGGCGAACCTCTGTTATCAAGCAGGTTGTTATTACGTATCTACAATGAACAAGTAAACACCTAAAGGAACAGCCTGCGTGTATTTACCATCACGTAAGTACGTTTCACTACATTACCAGGATTCCCTTATGGGATGTGATAAGTTTAGCCGAATTTAGAGATATCTTGCAATCGAATACACGGAGAGCTATCGAAGGTATTGTGTTATCAATTTCTTGCTTTGGCGTTCACCAAAATATGACACGAGTTACATTGATTGAGATTGTCAATAAAAATATCTAAAACTGATTCAAACGGGGAGTATAATGATAAGTATGAAGGTCGTCTCTTTATTGGTTTTTGTTTCAAATATTACACGAAATCAAGCATTCATGAAAAATGCAAATACCTTCTTACTATGTACAATGTATTTAACCTACCTACTTACTATTGGGAACACAAATTTTGTAAACCCGACATGAAAAAAGACGGTGTGTGGAAGTAAGAGAGCTAGGTATTAAACATCCGCAGGGATGCTATTTTTTTATCCCTGAGTAACAGACAGGTTATTGTTATGATGAGGTATTAACTATATATATGTACATTTGTTAGTTATAGACAGGTTGTACATGTACCTAAAAACAAGTGAATTGATATGGAAAATATACACAGTGAACAGTTACAAACCTGTCATGTCTATGTGTGTATGGTAGTTATAGACAGGTGGTAGTTATAACCAAATTATTGATATAGATGATATACACAGAGGACAGTTACAAACCTGTCATGTCTATGTGTGTATGGTAGTTATAGACAGGTGGTAGTTATAACCAAAATATTGATATAGATGATATACACAGAGGACAGTTACAAACCTGTCATGTATACGTGTGTATGGTAGTTATAGACAGGTGGTAGTTATAACCAAAATATTGATATAGATGATATACACAGAGGACAGTTACAAACCTGTCATGTATACGTGTGTATGGTAGTTATAGACAGGTGGTAGTTATAACCAAAATATTGATATAGATGATATACACAGAGGACAGTTACAAACCTGTCATGTATACGTGTGTATGGTAGTTATAGACAGGTGGTAGTTATAACCAAAATATTGATATAGATGATATACACAGAGGACAGTTACAAACCTGTCATGTATACGTGTGTATGGTAGTTATAGACAGGTGGTAGTTATAACCAAAATATTGATATAGATGATATACACAGAGGACAGTTACAAACCTGTCATGTATACGTGTGTATGGTAGTTATAGACAGGTGGTAGTTATAACCAAAATATTGATATAGATGATATACACAGAGGACAGTTACAAACCTGTCATGTATACGTGTGTATGGTAGTTATAGACAGGTGGTAGTTATAACCAAAATATTGATATAGATGATATACACAGAGGACAGTTACAAACCTGTCATGTATACGTGTGTATGGTAGTTATAGACAGGTGGTAGTTATAACCAAAATATTGATATAGATGATATACACAGAGGACAGTTACAAACCTGTCATGTATACGTGTGTATGGTAGTTATAGACAGGTGGTAGTTATAACCAAAATATTGATATAGATGATATACACAGAGGACAGTTACAAACCTGTCATGTATACGTGTGTATGGTAGTTATAGACAGGTGGTAGTTATAACCAAAATATTGATATAGATGATATACACAGAGGACAGTTACAAACCTGTCATGTCTATGTGTGTATGGTAGTTATAGACAGGTGGTAGTTATAACCAAAATATTGATATAGATGATATACACAGAGGACAGTTACAAACCTGTCATGTCTATGTGTGTATGGTAGTTATAGACAGGTGGTAGTTATAACCAAAATATTGATATAGATGATATACACAGAGGACAGTTACAAACCTGTCATGTCTATGTGTGTATGGTAGTTATAGACAGGTGGTAGTTATAACCAAAATATTGATATAGATGATATACACAGAGGACAGTTACAAACCTGTCATGTCTATGTGTGTATGGTAGTTATAGACAGGTGGTAGTTATAACCAAAATATTGATATAGATGATATACACAGAGGACAGTTACAAACCTGTCATGTCTATGTGTGTATGGTAGTTATAGACAGGTGGTAGTTATAACCAAAATATTGATATAGATGATATACACAGAGGACAGTTACAAACCTGTCATGTCTATGTGTGTATGGTAGTTATAGACAGGTGGTAGTTATAACCAAAATATTGATATAGATGATATACACAGAGGACAGTTACAAACCTGTCATGTATACGTGCCTATGGTAGTTATATGCAATAATTGCTACATATACAGGTGACAAAATTAGACAAGTAGGGGATAGCATTACTCATATCGAGAACACGTGGTCATGTCGTAGATATTGAATGTTACGATAACAATATATCAATACTTGATTTCAATGGTATTGTACTTTAGTGTTCTAGTGCAGCCACTTTATCAGAAATGGTAATTTTCCGAAATCAAAAATAATTTCATATCCTAAAGGTTAAGTTTGTTTTAAACACAAACAGGAATAAAAAAACTTAGTTTGCGAGCTTTCGAACACTTCTTTGTCATTGTCAAGCAAAGAGTGTAAATGTCGACACTTAACCGCTGAAAACCACTCACTAAGCCAGAGTTGGCCGATCAGTAAAGTCAAGATTAACAGAGCTGAAAGGGGGCCACCAGCTGAGTTATCTGTATGACCCCTTTTTATCATTCTTTGAGTAGTGGAATGGGAAAACATATTACCACCCCTTCCCCGACTCCAAGCAGTAACAGAGTGCAATTGGGCAACATGTCTCTATAATTTGTAATGTGGCTTAGTGAGCTGTTTTCATCCGTTCAGAGTCGAGTTTTCAATTCCTGTTTGTGTTGAACCTTTGCGTTTATTACTGATAACAAACAGAAGAATCTTATTCTGAATTGTATATCCTGCCTTCTTCTTAGGTAACAAATACTGGATTCGATGCAGAATGGCGCAAACATCATCTGATGAGGTATATTGAAAGTTGTGGTTAAAATGTTCCATTCCTTTTCTTTCTATCGTGTTTGTTTCGTAATCTTGATTATTCTTAATTCCAATATTTGGTATGATATTTCGGAGCGAAAATGGATGAAACAGTTTTTACCTGTTGCGTAAAAAAAGGAGTTTAAATATATTGCTTAATGCCGAATGGTTTATGGTATAAAGGTTTCGAATATTGTATTAAAGATGTACACCAGCCATTTCCAATACAAATTTGACAGTAGACTTCTATCGAGTTAATGTATGAGTCTTATCTAAAGGCGTTTTCAGACTTTTGTATTGGTTTTAGCTTTCAAAAATCATGTAGTATGCACTGAAAGAAGTGGTTGATGTAACGAGAGAAATAGCAGACCTGAGCATCGTGCCTAAATTACAAAGGTAGGCTTGGAGAGGTAAGAGAGGAGGTACGTATTTAAAGATACAGTGTGTCGATGCAGGAAGCCAACAAGTTATATTGTAAAGCATAGACTGTAAATTATTAATTTAATTTTCCCAAAATATGTTGTATATGATAACCTTTTAGTGGACACCTAATTAAGCCTCCGAACTTTTATGTGCTATTCACAGGTATAAGTTCATTATTTGTATACTGCAATATCATGTTTTCTTTCTTATTCAATTGTTTTATAAATTTAATATTATTGCTAGAAAATATGACTACATATGTAATATATATTTCCTTTCAATAACACACCAAATGCAAATATTCTTAATAAAAGTCACCAGGGAGATTGCCTGTGGGGGCTGTTCATTTAATTCATATATTTGTGTGTACTTGGTAAAGACTCTTATATGTAATATTTCATATGTGCTATTGATGTCTATGGTTTATTACGTGGCAAAAATATCTGATGATAATACATGAATTTGACTGATTCGCCCGTTGTCAGTATATTGCGACCGGATGGGTTGTCCTGCTGGGTGTCTTTGGTAGTATGTTTTAGTGAGGTAACACTATAAAGTCGGCATCAGTTCCGCGCTATCACAAGGAGACAATTCGAACATATCGCAGCCTCCCAAAACACACACGCATACACTACACGCATGCATCTTGCACACAGGGAAGGCCGTCCTTGATTGACCATAGCTGTTGATAGGTCGTTAAACAATACTAAACCAAACCAACCCGTGAATTGCGGTTCACTCAGCAAATCTCTGTATACGCCAAACGCCATTTCAAGACTACAATTTGAACTAGAAATCCATTAAACTAGGGTAAGATATGAACAAAGGATATTTTTTATATAGAGACCCTTGTAACAGTGAGTCGAAGAGGAATAAAACCAAAGTGTTCGGGAATGGTAAGGGTCTTCTACTTCAACCACGACGTCCGCCATGTAATCTAGGTCAAGTCTTAATAATGTTACCTCCTCACACTTAGAAGTCGTGTAGTGTACTCTAGCCACAAGGCACACAAATAGGCATCAGCAAAAACTGCGACCTACAAGTCACACAACGAAACTGCACATTTCCAGATGGGATCTTGATGGCGACCATAAACGCTGTCCATATTCTTCATCAACCTGCATCTCTGACATTCCTGTTTTGAAAGTTTGTCAATAAGCTCTCGACATTTATCACGAAAGCAATGGTATTCAGAGCAAACTCTTGAACACAGAATATAACACACGTGTAACGTAGTAGGAAAGCAGGGAGGTTACTACCTAGAACGGGAAACTTCACGATTGAAAAGTTACAATAGTCCCGTGTATTGTACAGCTTAGTAGTAATCCATCCCTGTTTGACATAATGCCAGTAAAGATCAAAGAAAGCAGCTTGAGTAGCAGAATCTATAGTGTCTCCGATTTTAAACTCAAGGGGTTAGACAGGATGGACGTGGTCAATACAGTTCTTGCTGTTTTAAGAATGAACATTGTCGATATATCTGAATATGAAATCAGAGGATTAAGGTAGGTTTTTGTCATTAGCTCAAAAATTAGTCAGCCTCATATGAATACAAAAACAAGTCGACAGAATGAAGGCATTGTTTGTTCCCTTTGAAATGTCTACATTATGCCGGAATGCATTTCCACGGAACTCAATAAAGAAACTGTCAGCCAGGAACTCAATAAATTTGACAACTTCCTGCTTACTATATTTCATTTTTGGTCTTTTTTTGTGTTTTTTAACTCAGCATGCTCTCGTTTTGCCCACTGCTTAGCGTAATCCTATACAGAATCAATCAATGTCTGTAAAATTTACATTTTAGTTGATGGTATAAGTCTCGTAAGGACTCTTAATGAAAAGCTCTCGTATCTCGTACCATAGAACGAGGCCTTGTCAAGATTTTTGAAAATTGCTTTCGACCACATTATGTGATTAAACGACGTATCGATCTTGTCCATTTAGTAACAATGAATACATTATTTAAATTCATCAATTTAGAATAAATATAACTATATCATCAAATTATTTTTGTATGCGAAAATATGTTTGATCCACCTGTCACGTGAACGTCCGCTCTCTGTTTCATTATTGAAGGCGCTTTTCGATGTGGTGTAGTACAAAATCTAAAATTCCAACGACACACTAAACAAAAAAAGTCATCTAAGTTCAGTTATATAACAGAATCCGTTTACACTGAATTATCTTCAGTGATACCAACACGTGCTTAAAGTTTACCAGTACATAACGTTGTTCTTGCCACGAGTCCCTCTAAGATAATTCACAAAAGGGTATTTAACAATTCTATTTCTTTTTTTTATTTATTTCAGCTTTTACTTGAAATGATTTCCGCACAGGGCGATTTAAGTGGGTAATATTTACTATGATGCACAATGAGGTAGTTTGTTTTATTTGAGGATTGTTTATGTGCGACACCTACCGTTATGAGGTATGATTTGGATTAACATGAAAATGTAATAATTCTGCCCTTACTTTCGTATAGACCGTTGGTAGATACACGTGACCACATCCGATGTCTTGTGAAAGGTATGTATACCCACATAGTTTTATACATAAAAGTAAGTAAGATATTACTTTGAAAAATGATGTTGTTTTACTTAGTTAAATCATATAACAGCCCATGTATGAGAGGTTTAAGTAATATACGAATAGGTAGCCATGTGAAATACAATAGTTAGTCTACATGTCGTAATTCAATTTGGTGGGGATAGGGAATTGTTGATAGGCATTTTGTTCTGAAATATAACATTCGTTCCCCTAATCACAAACATCTGCGATATCAAGACGGTGATCAGACTATTACCATTTCATAGCTTTGTTCAAGATGAAATGATGATTGATTAAGATCGACAGTACCTGAATGAGCTGTGGGTGCGACTTTTATTTATTTTACATCAAGTATGAAACAAGGTATTTCAAGTTATTGACCCGGAGTTACATCTGTAAGCGCTTATGAACAGTACATATCAAAGATTTTTTTCTGATTACGTAAATATGTGCTAGATCCAAGTTAGATATCTATATATGCCAAAATCGAAAATATTTATTTTTATTTTACTGTTCATCACAATTAGGTCGAGCCAGGGACAAGTGCGTCATATATCTATATATTTATAAATATTGTAGCATGACATCACAAAACGTTAAATGGCAGTTGTAAGGAGTTAATTTCCACTCAAGTTTTTCAAAAACAAAACTGTATCGTCAACACAGTTCAAAACCATTCGCCTTGACAATGCAGTTCGACCGCTTTGGATTTACAGGCTTATTTTCCATCGTGGTTTATAGTTGTATAGCACATGATGATCATTGTTATGATCAACCAGCATACCATACCAGACACGTATATACACTCTGTACTTATATGTCTCTGATTATACATACCATACCAGACACGTATATACACTCTCTACTTATATGTCTCTGATTATACATACCATATCAGACACGTATATACACTCTCTACTTATAGGTCTCTGATCATACATACCATACCAGAGACGTATATACACTCTGTACTTATATGTCTCTGATTATACATACCATACCAGACACGTATATTCACTCTCTACTTATATGTCTCTGATCATACATACCATACCAGAGACGTATATCCACTCTGTACTGATATGTCTCTGATCATACATACCATACCAGAGACGTATATACACTCTATACTTATATGTCTCTGATCATACATACCATACCAGAGACGTACACATCCGTAACAGATGGATCGGTGCAAATTTTACAATTTATGTCTAATAAAGTAATTATTTTAATGAAAACAGAAACTTCTAGCTGTTAATAACAGATTTTGGTGTGTTTTTTCACTCGCCACCAGCATTGATCTACTGATGTATACAAACGAATAGGGTTCTCTATTCTATTCAGAACTAAACTGTCGTCTGCTGCCATATTGAAGCGTCTGTGACAACAATAGTCACGTGGTATCGGCCATCAACATCTAAATATAGCATGTTAATCATTTCAAAGTAATATGCATTCAAGACAAAATGTTCGAAGGTTAAATTATACCTATCCACTGTATTTGCCAATTTGACATACCTGTAACAACTTGTGAGAGTATGTCATTCCTGTAAAATGACTTGTCTGTTTAAAGAACATTCTGCATACCATCCACGAGGTAGAGCAGGCATAAATAAATTGAAAAGATGTGTTTATGTTGATGTATGATAAGGCAAGATTATCATATAAGTAATAAATATAATGTTATTTTGTAGAGACTAGAGCTATAGTCTGTTTCATATTTACACTCCCTTGTACATTTTGTAAGAGTCATCTTTCTTTGTGCTTGAACAGTTCATAACAGCAGTGCAACAAGCATAGAGAGGTCCTGGGATGAAGCCATCAGGAGGATTACAGAACATCCTCCTGGTCAGTTGTTTGCTGATGATGCAGAGGACGTTGCAGCAACACCAGAGGCAGCAGCATCCTCTGCATCATCACAAGGACAAAAGAGGTAAATAAATCTAGCTGCTAGAATATAATGCATCTGTTGTAAAAATGAATATTCAACTTCAGTGAACATTTATACACATACATGATTGTATATAACTCATAAGTGCAATCTTTTGTGTACAAACTTTGATTAGTATATTACATGGGTCATTTTTCTTAAACATTGTCTTGACTGACTTGTTGCTTATTTGCAATTTTGATTATTGTGTATAACTTTGATGCGAAATTGGGCATGCAGTATATATTTGTCAATCAGTATTCTGACCTTATATACGAAAATTGGCCAATGTAACCACACATATGAAATAAAATATTTCTCCTGAAATTCTACCTTGATTGGTAAATTGATATGTGAAATGTTAGAATGTCACGGACAAAAACATTAAATCATTATCATGCATTTGCATATATTTACATGTAGGTATTTACCTTTATATTCTATAGGTTACATGTACATTTAAAGATTATTATTAAAATGTAACTGCATCTTTTTGATCACTTTCAACCTTTGAGGATTAAACTTTAAATGGTGCGTATCTTAAATTGTGTTTTTCTATTTTATGGAAGTAATTTTACCTAAGAATTTGGCATTAGCATAAGTGTGTGTTAAATTCAGTTTTACATGCCATTTATCACAGATGCCGAACAAAAGAGGTGCAGGCCACAGACAGGCAGAAGAGGAAGAAAACTGCTGAAGATGTATATACAATTCAGCATGCCTACTTTGAGAGAGAGATGGTTAAGACCGAACTACAGATCACCCTTTTAAAGAAAATTCTTGAAAATTTTGAAGGTCAGCAAGACACTGTCAGCCATCTAGCTGCTTTGTCTCATTAGCTGAATATTGCTTACATGCTAATGATACAAAACAGACAGAATGCTGTCAATCTTGTCTGATCATTGTAGTTATCCCTTGCTCAGCGTTAGTTAAAATTATCAACATTAATAGGTCTATATGTAAATAATTGATGTACGTCTTATATTGAAATATTGCAAAAGGTCTATGTAGACTTACTGATATTTTTCAATGTAATATTGATGTCTTGTAGATCTGATATTTGGCTGATAGGTTCCTAGGATGAAGCCTGACAAAGTATGTGAAAAGAAATGACCTTGACTCATATTCTAGGTCATAGGGTTAAATTTGTAAAAACCTTTAAACAACTTCTTCTGCATGCACAAGAGGCCTAGGATAATGATATTTGGCCAATAGCATGCTAAGATAAAGGGCTACCAAGTTTTTTCAAACAAATGACCTTCGCCCATGTTCAAGGTCACAGGGGACAAATATGTTTAAATCTTTAAACGACTTGTTCTGAATATTCAAAAGGTTCAGGGTAATGATATTTGGCCAGAAGCATGCTGGGTCGGAAGGCTATAAACTCTGTTCAACTTAATGTCCTTGTTCGACTGTCAAGGTCACAGGCGTCATTTGTTTAAATAATTAAACAAATTATAATGTATCGAACACAGATATTTTGTAACTGTAGCTGTATATTAGTCCACTTTTAAGATTACAAGTGTGAGAATAATACCAGGTGAGCGATTCAGGCCCATTGGGCCTCCTGTAATATTAAAAGTATGTATAATATCATGATTTATCTGTTGAGCGAGGGATATCTATGACAAAATTTTCTTTTAGCCATTTCCCTTTCAAAGTAGGCATAGATATATGCCTCAATTTTGTCTCCTATCATTAGTTTTCAAATAAAATTTCAAATAATTCAAAATTTTACCTATCTTTATGGTATATCTATTAACTACATATCCATATCTGACATTATCCAAATTTTAACCATATGACCATTTTCATATCCTACTCGACCCATATCAGCCCACGAACTACTTGCCCATTGGGCTGATA